ATCATCAATCAGATCTTCTAAAAATTATAAAATATAATTGTATTAAAACGTGGAACGGAATACCTCTGTTATTAATTTATATCTAACTGTCTATAGAAGAAGGCAACGAAATATTTCCATAAATAGTTTAGATGTCTTTTTTAAAAAAAAATAGTTATACTCGTACCTAAAATACTTTATTTTTTATACTTTGTTTATAATTTAAGTCTCAAGTTAAATACGGCGTATCGTTTTACATGTTTCGACAGCAAAACAACCTACATGCCTTATAACTAGCCATTTCCTGAAAAAGACTTCCAATATCCAAACTTCATTAGGCAGTTTCCGTATTTGGTGCATTGTATGAGTATGTAATCTCAATTATACTGCATTCGTCTAAATCAACTTTGTTTTTTATGCTATTGCTTTATTCAACAAAATCTTTAATAACTCACAGAGGCATCCCGCAAAAGTGTCGTAAGGGATCCAACAATTATCCCTGAAGAAATAAATTAATATTGATTATTTTAATAAAAAATAAATGAACTACAATAAACAATTTATTTTGTATTTATTTCTATTTATTTAATTAAAAATATATGAAATCAATTTTCAAAATCAAATCATCTAAGAGTCCTAATCAGCTTGAGTTCAAATACTGGAACGTCTCTGATATGTTTTGTTTATACTTAATGTATTTTAGTACTGCGACATCTCGCAGACTTCAAAGAAAATTATTTCTTTGAATGCTGATTTTTTTTTGCAATGCTGACTTGTCGAGATTAATTATTAAAGTTTTATAAGTTTGTACCTAAAAACAATTCCATATAATAATTTCCATGAAATAATACTTTATATAAAATGTAGGCGTCCGATAGTGTTTTTCTCTGATAAGCTAACAAGTTATCCCACATCACAACAAAAATAATTATTAATTGCCTCTTGCTAGATTAAATTGTTTGTTTTTTAATATAAAAGTTGCTTGTTTAGTAATTTATTTAGAAGTATTACTTAATTATCGCTAAAGCTAAGTGCATGAGTCATAGAATGATACGGATTTTTATAATTAATTATTGCTAACAGTGATGCTATTATGTGATTTCATACAATTCTGATGGAATCTCAAATAAAATCCCAATTTTCAAAATAAACTTCAATAAATTTTTAATAATAATCTGCCTCCTCTATATCGAAAATACTTCAAAAGAACCATAGCTTAACAGTTATTATTAATATTGATTACATAAAAACAACACTCACACATTGAAAACCAATAAATTAAAAATTAAACGAAATAAACTGAAGTTAATAATTAAATAATTTTTTAAAATATTATATTATATATCACAAATACAACACAATTAAAAATTAAACTAAATACATTCAAATTAATAATTAAATAATTTTTTAAAATATTATACTATATATCACAAATACAACACAATTAAAAATTAAACTCAATAAATTCAAATTAATAATTAAATAATTTTTTAAAATATTATACTATATATCACAAATACAACACAATTAAGAATTAAACTAAATAAATTCAAATTAATAATTAAATAATTTTTTAAAATATTATATTATATATCACAAACACAACACAATTAAAAATTGAACTAAATAAATTCAAATTAATAATTAAATAATTTTTTAAAATATTATATTATATATCACAAATACAACACAATTATGTAAATAAAATAGAAATAGAAATATAAATATAAATAATTATAAAGTAACAAGGTACGAAACCAAAATAGATCCAATTGTTCTATAGTTATATATTATTTATTTTAGCACTTTTTTTTATTTGTCAATCTTTATTACAAACAAAATAAAAGATAGTGTACCTGTTGGAACTCTATGATAGGTTAGATAAGTTTATATCATGTCTAGAATATGTAATCTTGGTGTTGTGGGAGCAGAACAGTGGGCAAATCAGCAAATACTTGATTCAAAATAAATATAGAACGGGTTATACTATATATCAGATTTGTCATATAACTTCTAATATTTACTTAAAAATTGAATTTTATATCAGTAATAGTATAATGCTACATAATAGTTTAGGAACAGTTGAGTTTTATATCTCTTTGTTTGATTATTTATTTTTGATTAGTTGATTCTTATTTTTTTAATGATAACTGTCACGGTCCCTGCCTTAGTTATTTTTCCATTTTATGGATTTGTACTTCAACTGAATATCAGCAAATTTATTGGAATTTTTTTTTTGTTTATAGCAGAGTACTTCTCTTTGAAAATTTGTGTAAACAAAATAATTGTAAATTTATTAATAGGTGTAAATAAATTTAATATAATCAACAATACTTAAGACCGTGTGCGAGTTCGAATGAATTGATGGGAAATAGTAAATTATGTCGGCATGGCAGCAAATGTTAGTACTTAATTTCGAGTAGGGCAAATTAGAAAAAAGTTAGGTAAATTGTTATTGTGAAAATTTTATAAGATGTTTAATAAATAAACAAATAAATTTAAAAACTTTTAACCAAAAATAATAAATAAGTGCAATAAATAAATAAATAAATATTTAGATAAGTGCAGTTTATTCGAAGTTGCACACGGCCTAAGTAATTACTTAGATTTAAGCAAAATAAGGAAAAAAAATTGTAAAAATTGAAAAAAAAAACAATAAACTTACTAATCAATACTCACAAATCGAAAACCAATTTAGATTGCTTAAGCTTCGGCATTATCTGATAATGCAAGTACAAGTATAATTTAATATTATTAATTTGTAACTTTCATACGAGATATATTGTTGTCACATGGCAGTATTCAATTTTTTTATAATTTTCGAACTATTCATACACTAATAATACTCTAAAAGTTTCAATTAATACTTATTGTCAAAGTGTTTTATCAATTCTTTTATAACCCAGTATATTTGCATTGTCAAAAAATGATTTATAACTTAGTGCCTGTTCTTTTCACATATAATAGAGAATATGCACCGCATACGATCAGATCGATGGTGATATTCTTCTACTGTGAATCTACACATCAACTTGTTATGGGGGGAAAAGTCTTAACCCCCAACTACGATAATAAAATTGTGACTCTAAATAATAACTATTCAGAAATGTAGTTAAATGTAATTAACAATAAAAAAACAATACTATCCACACACCATTTCAATTTTCTAACTATAATATTGGAATAACAAGGACTCAGATAGAAGCTATCATTAACCAGAAAATAACAAGAACGATTCCTGAATACTCTTCATCACAAAAGTTATAATAAAAAAACAAATAGTCTAGCGACAAAATCGCAACTATAAAATCACAATAAAAAAATTTTGACAAAATATTAACAATAACAATCAATAACAACTCTTCAAAAACAAGGGACATCACTGAAGAAAGCTAACTACAAAAGCCCGATAAAAAAAATTTAACAACTAATTATTAATAACAATAAATTACAAAATCTCAACAACAATACCAGAGTTAATATTCCAGAATTGTTCCAGAACTGAGTCTATGTTCCAGAGCCCATCCAGAGTAGAGATGATTAAGTGCCGCTCACCCATCCTATGAGGGACCGATAAAGAAGGAATACTAGCAATATTAGAACAACAACAAAATAAAATAACTGAGAAAATAACGGTTCTATTGTCGCAAGACTATGACTAACAATATCGCAAATGGCCACTACAGTAAGCACTATTTGAAGTAACTATAAATACTTTCTTTCAAGAGAGAGAAAGCCGTTGATTTTTTTCTATCTACTGGTGTTACGGTGCGATCGAACATAAATGGCACAATAGATTGTGTTGCTAATAGATAGTGTTGCTGTTATTTTTGGTTTTCAATAATGTGAACTACCTCTATTCAGTACAAAAATTATTATCAAGAGCGGAAAAATGTGTAGAGTATTTGTTGGTGGTTCTACTTTATCAGTGGACTTTAACTTTGTAAGGAATACTTTTGATAAAAAATTTATTTACAATGAAAAAGCAAAAGTTTTTGCTTTTTATTTTTTAATTTTTTATTAATGTTTTAATTTTATTTTATTTTGATATTAATTCTATATATATATATATTAATTATATTAATACGTCGATCTTGGGTTTATTGCAATGAGGTTGAGTGTTGAGAAGACACTTCTTTCATGCAGAAACAGCATCTCTTTCGAAAGCACGTTTGCATCATTCACTCTCATCTAGGGATAAGAGACGACATTCTTATAACATACAGTAAAAACTATTTTTCCTTATGGCGTTTTCGATTGGTAAATCTGGATTTAATCCAGATTTACTCTTGATCTGTCAAATTTTATTGTTCAATCGAACATTTTTGAGTAATCTAACATTTTTTTTAGTCATGTTAATAAACATTTACAATTTTCCCAAATACATTCATCGAATCAAATCACATTTTAGCTGTCAAATCATATAAATCAATTATTAATTTTAGGGTAATCTTGCTACTCTGACAAAATATGTAGAATGTTATAAATTAATCTTGAGTGTTATACATTTTACTCAAGATTTACCATTCGAAAATAAATTTGCACCAAAAGTGCATTAAAAGAGCATCTTGATTGAAAAAATTACTCCAGATTTACCAATCGAAAACGCCATTAATTTAAGTCAGTATGCAGATACGTATCTGCCAGCTAATTGTCATGTTTAAAAACGTCTATTTGTGTTTTGATTCGCGTGGTTACCATTAAAAACAATATTATATTTGTATATATGTGTTCTAGTAGCAGTTTTACTTTTTACTATGTCGTTCATTTGTTTTTATTTTTCAATATACATACTTAATATTAGAACATACTTATTACTAGTATTTTTGAGTCTTTCTTATTTATAGTTCTATATTAGATCTTTACTTTGACCTATACTAATTCAAGTAGCATCGAACCTACACCTTTGTCTTTGACATCCTTACACTAATCTACACAGACCCAGACTAGAGATAGGTGTAATCCTATAAAATCTATTCAAAGTTCAAAAAAAACACAAATAATTTTTTTTTTATTGTTATATACAAAATTTTATTTGTTATCTTTGTTTTTGATAATAATTTAATATATTTTACTCTCAAAAAGATTAATTATTTTGCTTTGTGTTGCTAAAAACCAAAACACTTTTCAATTTGTTTTTTGCACTGATACGTCTGGTACCAAATTCTTACATTAATGAAAGTAATTATAATCATATAATTAATTAAATTATAATAACAGTTGACAGAAAAAAAATTGTTTTGGTTCGTGTGGTTATCATTAAAAACAATATTATATTTGTAAATATATATTTGTTAGAAGGTACATTTTATTTTATAACTTTTTCGAATACATTATAAGCGTTTTATGAGTTTTCTGTAAAAAGTGCAGATAATTTGCAAATTTTGATTTTTGTAAACAATTTCAACATTTTAAAGTTAAAAACAAAAAAAAAATTGTTTGGTATGTAAGTGAAATTTCACTGCTGTTTTTAATTTATATTTAACATAATATTATGTATTTATATTTTATTCAAAACTTATGTAAATTAATAAATGTATATTTTATAAAATAAAACTAATAGTCTAAAAGGAAGTTTAAATTTTAGAATTTTTTACTTAACATTTTTTGCTCTTTTTATGATTTTTGCATTATAATTTTTTTTAATACTACATAACTTAAAGAAGATAGCTGTTTACAAATTTGCATATATAATAAAATTATTTAAATTACAAATGGTGTATTTGTTATTATATTTTTTGTAGTGCTTAACGGCCAGTTATTGGTCAAACAATTCAAACAATTTTGCTTTTGCATTTCATTTTTATAATCTAAACAATAACTGGCCGTAAACACTTTTTAAACTTATTAATTGTTTATAAACATAAGCATTAATATTAAGAAATATTCCCAGGTTATATACATTGTACTTATAAGGGTTAAATATGAATTTATGTTTTATTTCTGCGTTTATTTTATTATTATTACAATTAATACTTGATATTTTAAATACAGTGCAATATATAGAATAATATTCACGTTTGCGAAACAAATTAGTAGTATACAAAAATAGTTTGATTTTACAAATTAATAAAATTTTGCATATAATTTTTTGCTGAATTAAAGACCAAATTTTATACACAATCCGGTTGCAGCTGCTGCCTACGAAAAATATACACGCGTAACTTCCATAAATGGCTTTCGACACATCGGACATTTTTGTACCGATGATGCACACTTGGCGCATGCAACCACATGACCACAAGGTAAAAACGCTGTATTGTACTCTTCAGCGTAGCAAATTTTGCACAGCTTTTCTTCTGGAATAGTTGCATTTATTTTTTTATCCGCTGTAGCGAAAGTAGGAGCCACATCTAAGCTTACTGTTGCCGCTGTCAATTCAGGAGTAGTATTTGCAACCGCTTGTACTGAAGTACCACTCGTAATAGAATCACAATATATATTATTACTTCCCCCACCAACCATCATTGCTCTTGCTGGTGTTAACGTACCTAATAATACGGGCGACATGTATGGTTCTGGAACGCTTTCAGGTTTTTGAACTTCACCATTTACAATTTCATCTGTTTCTTTTGATTTATACTTAGCAATTATATTATCGATATAAGACTGACCCTTAATTAATTTTAAAAATCTACACTTGCTTAACCATAAAGCATGTTGCTCCCAAGGATCGTCATTATCTTCCCAATCTTTAAGACCACCACCACAGCTATAACATTTCACACGATCTCCTACACCAGTATAGAAAAATCCAGCTCTGGATAGTTCTTCAGGCTTTTGTTTCATGTTGCGTGGCCACTCGGCAAAGGAACGCACACGTGCTGTTTCGATTGCATATTCTGGATATTCAGGATACACAAAGGAATTATTTGTACCACTACGGCAGGAACCAACGTTCACATTTATATTAGCTGTTAGCACATCTGGTTCACTATTTCTTATATCTGAATTTAAACCTGATCGTACTTCTGTTGTATCGTTTGCTCCACAAATATCATAGCTTACTGGTGGCAACAAACGACTTAATGCTTCAGCATCTATTGGTTCATTATTTGTTGTACGACGACGCAGCAATGGACAATTTGGAGACCAGCGCAAATGTTCTGATACTGGTTCATCGTCACGCTCCCAACAACCGATTTCAACTTCACAAAAATAACATTTGACTTTATCACAATCACCAGTAAAGAACATACCAGTCTGTGCTAATTGATTTTTATTCAACCACTCTAATGGCCAACTGTCAAAAGTTTTTAAGCGTTCTTCCTCACGGCTAAAAATATCAGATATTGTATAGATTGGCATTTTGTGAGGGATAATATATAGCTCGTTAGTTTTATTATCAACTACATCCACACTGATTCGCCTGTACTCATCAATTACGTTCAAATTATTACGGCGTTGGTACAATGGGTTAACACCAGTGCCCAAAGGTATTGTTACTGTTGCTCCAGACATTTTGTTCTTTATTTTCTTGTTGCAATTTAATAAGACTTTGATTATTTCTATGTGAACTGTTCTTACGGAACTTCTTTAAAGATGTTGTAGTCAATGTACGATAAAACTGTAAGGAAAAACAAAGAAACGTTTAATATTGCAAGAAATTGTTTAATTATTGCAATAAAAAGTAAATAAAAATTATCTACGATTTCGATATAAGTTAAATGTTGAAATGTGTTAAGTATAATAAAATTCCACAACTGATACTGGCGCTTAACGTTCTGACTTAAAGACAATACTGTTATGAAATAAAAAACACACCTCAAAGTTCCATTGCAAATAAATACACAAATTATAAGCTAATTACTGTAATTATCTATACTGTTATTAATATTTTTTGCTATTATTTAGAAGTAAAAACAAGGTATTGAAAGTCATCATGAAATGCTTTTCATAAAATATTAATTAAAATACAATTGAAATAACTTAGATAAATATACAAAAAAAAATTGTAATCACTTAAAACTACAAAAAGTAACAAGTCCCTATATTCCTATAAATACCTAATATAATATGAAAGTACGTCAGCTGTTTTACTAGATAACGAGATTAGAATATTGTTCAGTAAAGATAAAGCATTGCACACTTTTCAAATTACTAACTTACGTCAAAGTATATTATTTGAACCGGAAGTGAAAACGACAACTTTTACTTAAAAATAATCACGTTTTTCTAGGAACAATTCAGATAAGTATACAAACATTACAACCCTTATAGATATATTGTCATGCTGACAAATTTATATTTCAAAGAATTTTTTATATGCAATCTTTTCGTTGAAAATTCTCATAAGAATAATATACACAATCCAGATTATAATAGTAAGAATATATACATATATCAGTTTTGTTATGTCTTAAACAATCGATAAAATATTTAATAGTGATGTATTGCTAAATTAATTATTGTGCAACCATATAAAGGGTTAAAATATCCACAAATAAGACATTTTCGCACAAAAGTAATTGAAGTCTCCATCTAACAGTTCCTAAGTCAATAATTTCAAATCAGAACTTAATTGTTAATTTTTTAATTCATTGTACAATATAAATATACATATTTTATAGTTACAAAAATATATACGGATATATACTCCAATCTGAAAATACTCGATCTAACGCTGGTGATCGTTGTCCGCAAAAAAAAGTAATATAAATTGTTCAAGAAATTTCTAGGATATAGAAAACGGAAGAGAAGATTCTAGAATAGATTCACCTAGGTATAAAAAATCAAATGGTATTGAAATATGTTATGGCTCAAATAGTTACTTTAAAGAAATATTCTTTTGCAATTATTTCTGAGCTATTTTTTAGAAACTTTCTTTATTATTTAAAAACAATTTTTGTTTCAACATATAACGAAAGATTTATTTATATTTTTATATAATTATTAACATTATAACATACTATTAACTATTACCACTATTATTATTATTATTATTGTAATAACATATTACAAAAAAATTTATGTTTTATAAGAAACGTTTTGTTTTTTTTTATTACCTTATACTTTTTATATATTGAAGAACGTAATGTTAATTTAATTTTTTATTATATTTATGTATTTATTATATATATCAATATTTATTTATTGGTATATAATTTATATTATAATTATAAAAAAGTATAACAAATATTATATATTTTATTATATAATATAATATACAATATTAATTATACTTTAATTAAAATTATAATATAAATTATATTAATGTATTATTGTATATTATTGTTTTGTTGTGATGTTTATATATAAATAAGCCAAATACACTTTGTACGCTGAAAGAAATGCTATTATATACTTTGTACACACATGTTTCTTTAATACTTATAAAATAAACTAAGCGTTATTTTCTTTTAACATTTCTTTTATAGTTAAAAATAATTTCTGTATCTTATCTTTACAATTATCAGTTAATTATAAATACTTTACCATTTGCAAGTTAATGAAATTTTATAAACACCATTTTAATTTTAAGGTATAATGATTATTGAAAAACCAAAGATGTTTAATTCGCGAGTAAATGACCTTCTCCATATAGGCTCAGACTATACACTAAAGTATACAGAAATATATATGCAACTTATTTCGGGGTGAACAGCATAACAGCATACAATTTACACCCTTAAAATATATCTGAGACGCACAAGGTGGTATCTGTGACGCTTTTATGTGTGCTCTGCGAAAACTCTCTCACAATTGTATACTACTAAGGGGTGAAATATTGTATGTGTATTTCATCAGACACCAGCTAGGGATGCATATGGCGTTGACAGCTGCCCCAAGTTAAAAAAATATATGTGTTCCAGAAATAGAAAAACAAAAAAAAAATTATCTGTGGTTACTAGTCACTAGTTACACTGGACATGCGTATTGAGAAAATGAGTATAGTACGCAACAGACAATCGATAGTGAGTACTATAAACATGAGTAATAGTACTCATTTTACACTACTATTACTCGTATTTTTGCATGCATTAACTCACTTGGAGAGCTGATTCATCATCTTCTAATTTAAGAAGAAGAGGGTTGATATTCTATTGTCAAAAGTTTGAAAATTTACATTAACACTAGGATAAAAAGTATAACATTGCAATTTTTAAAGTTTAACGCGAGATATGCGCAGAATCTGTAAAATGAATGCATTTTTAAATGGCGTCATCCTGCCATAAAGAAAAAGGAAGAACTTTTGTGAATGTCTGCAAAATAAAAACAATTATTTTTATGCATTAAAAAAAATAATCAATGAATGTGGCGTCGACTTGGTTTTATGGGAGCACAGTGAACGTTTTATGAAGACTGAATTGCAGCGCAAACTCATTTAGGCATTACTTCAATATAAAAAAATTGTAATTAGTGTAGGCGTAAAATAAAATATTCAAATAAATTAACATAAAATATGGCAACGTTGGATTTCATGGTTGTTGTTGATATTTTTATATTAATTCACTTTAAACTATAAACAGATAATGATTAGTTTATTTTAGAAAAGTTGAGTAGGACTACTGCATTCGATCAAGTAACCGGTTAAGTCACCATATACGTGGATACAGATTGCAAAATTATTATTACTTTTAAAATTAAAGAAAGTTTAATGCGGAATAAAACTACTGCATTCGATTAAGTAACCGGTTAATCCCTCATATCATGGATACAGTTGGATGGCTACTTATATATTTTATGCAAAAGTAAGATCGTAAGTCTTTCCATAAGTAATAAAAAGTATTAATGCGAAATTGGTTTATTGCTTTCGATCAAGTAAATGGTTAAATGGATACAGTGGGTTGTCTACTAAAATAATTTGTGGAAAAATATGATTGCAAAATGCTTCCTATGAGTAAAGTAAATTCAAAATAAAACCTAATAGTACTTTTAATTACTTTATTTTACAAAAGAACAATTGTTCTTATTACAGATTACTATATAGTATATGTGAAACCAAAAAAAATTTAAAACTGCGGAGTCTATTTACACGACACTAGTTAATCTTTGTTAGTGTCTCATCCGGGTAACGGCTAAACCGATTTACTACAAGCGAATTTCTTGTTTGTTTTTTTTTTTCTTGTAACTTAAAGAAAAACACTAGAGTAGCCTAAATTAATATTAACTAAACAATTAACAAACTAGACAAAAATAACACTACTTTACTCTTTACGCAATTAGCACTCTGAAAATGCACTGCGCGCAGTGTTCTTTAAATCCATTAAGTACCAGGCAATTTCAGATTCAGAAATATTCAGAAATAAAACAAGTTCAAGTAAATGAGAAAAATACAAAATATCACCTAAAAAATACAAAATATTCTTTAAATTTTAAAAAATATTCAAAACTAGCCGTGTGGTCCGAAATAGGTTAAGACTATTTTGTTCTTATGAAGTTGTATGTTCCGTTTCTCGCGTGTTTCCCTTAAACTGCTAATAATCGATTTAATCAGCACTCTAATCTAAATCCCCAGAATACGATTGAATTTACTATGTGAATAAACGTTAAGTTATTATATTTACAATATAAAATCAAGGGGATATTTCTCTTTATCTATTGTAGATAAGTAAAAACTTTTCATATTAAGCGTACGTAAAGCAATGTCTTTTTATTGAAAAAAAAAAAAAAAAAATACTAGAAATTAAAAGTAGAATAAAATTTTTAAATTATTATTAACAGTTGATTTTTGAAAGTGTAAAATTGTTAAGCATAAAACAACATTTGGCATTATCATTTATTATGGCTTACAGCACCTAAGAGCAACATTTATACTTTACATCTCTCATGATCTGCGGTGGTCGATATGGTGATCTTTCGAAGAAGGAAAAAATACTTTTTATTTTATTTTTAAAGATATGTTTCTTTATTATATTATTTTACGTTTACATTTGCGTAGCGTTAACTTGGCACAAGCAGACTTTACTTGGTTAGGTTAACAATCAACTTAACCACATAGAACCAACCAACAACACACCAGCAAAGCTTGATTTAAAATCAAACTATACATACCGAACGGCCGACCGTTCCCAGTTAACTTTTTTTTTCACAAAGCTGCACACAGCAGCACTACAAAAACAATGAACTACCGACAGCAACAATAACAATAACAACAACAACAACTGCATCAAGCATAGCAAAGCAAGTACAAAATCATTGTAAGTAACACACCACACAACTTGGGGGATTTTGAATACTGTGAGAAAGTTTCAATGGAATGCAGTCAAACAACTCATTGTAATTACAAAACCGACAGCAGCAAAAACAACAATAACAACAACGCCACGACTGCATTATGGTTAAAGGCAAACAACAAACTAACAAACCAGCAAACCAACAACAAATTCAACATAAGTGCAGCACAGCATAACTCGAAGCCAAAACCAAATGCAGCAATAACAATAACAATAAAACATGTGAATGGGTAAAAAAGAGCGAGCAATACGATGGATGAACGCAAGCAAGCAAGCAAAGAACTGTAAGGAAAAACCATCAATGGAAATAGCAAGCAGTAAGAAGACAACGAATTGTTTGGAGGTTCAATGCACATTCATCTTGCTGCAAATGTAAGAATAAGAAACCAGCAAAGCTCCAAAAAATCACAAGCCAACATCATCATAAACAACAACAATGTTTTTGTCGCCATACTCAAATGTACAATAAGTACGAAAAATAAAAACAAAAAATTTTTTTCAAGAAATAAAAATAAGACTGTGAAAAAATTGTAAAAAAAAAAAAACAAAATAATGATATAAATATGTACGTAAAAAACTGCATACAAAATGCACCATTACAATACAAGAAAAGACGGATATGGTTTGCATCAATCTACTAATAAGTAAACGTAGAGACAAACAGACAGAGATGATATCTTTCTGCTACAAACTGCAGCATTACATATTATAGGCAACGTAGCATGCACGAAGTAGAGCATGCTAGTTTGGTTACAATACGGCAATGGAAGCTCACGTTTTCCTTACCAAACAAAAAAACCACAAAACAACGAAAATATTTTTTTATTTGTAGTCTTATGTTGACTACTCTTCATAGGATACTGCCAGACAAAATTTCCAATGATGCATTAAGCTGTTAGTGCTGTTGCAACGGCAATTTAAAAGTCGCAGATGCTGTAGCAGCCGCGGACGATGCTTCTGCTTATACTGCTGCTTGGTGAGCGTTGAGTTCAAAGTACAATTGCAAAAAGTGCCAAGTAAATGTAAAGTTAAATTACTATGATCGGTCTTAAACGACTAAACAGATATCATGGTACCAATGTTTACTGTAATCAATTTTTTACCCATTTTTTATTTATTATTTATAATTAATTATATATTGTATTATTAATTATTTATTATTATAAAATATCTACTATTATAAATTATTTTTTATTATAACTTATTTTTTATTATAAATTATTTATTTTTATAATTATTTATTATTAGAAATTATTTATTATTATATAAATATATAATTATTATAAATTATTTATTATTATAAAATAATAATTATTATAAATTATTTATTATTATAAAATAATAATTATTATAAATAATTTATTATTATAAAATAATAATTATTATAAATAATTTATTATTATAAATAATTTATTATTATAAAATAATAATTATTATAAATTATTTATTATTATAAAATAACAATTATTATAAATTATTATTATTATAAATTATTTTTTGCTATTAATTATTTATTATTTTAAATATATTTTTTTTTATTAATTATTTATTATTATTAATTATTTATTATTATTAAATATTTATTATTAATAATTATTTTTTATTAATATTTATTTATTATTATAAATTATTTATTAATCTTAATTATTTATTATTATAAAAAATATATTTTTATTATTAATTAATATTATAAAAAATTTATTTTAAATCGTATATTATTATAAATTATTTATTATTATTAATTATTTAATATTATTGATTATTTATTGCAATTAATCATTTATTATTATAATTTACTTATAATTTTTATATCTTTTTGTTTTTTATTAGTATTAATTATATTATAATTCAATTGTATTGAAAATCTTTACACACATGTTTTCTTCACGGATTTTTAAGCATCTTAAAAAGAATTTTATTCTTCAATTACTTTTTACTGCATTGCTTTGTAAAATTTTAATTTTTGGGGACTTACATATTTTGCTATGGAAGCTAACTTTAGCATTGAGTGCTTGCAAGTGTAAAGTGAAGAGGTCTCTTCCATAATTACTAGAGTTACATTAGTAGAGCAATTCACAAGTAGTGTGACATTTACAAGTTATGGTGATTCATTTGTTTAAATTGAAACATAAACTTTGTGCAAAAAAATATCAGAATTGTAATGACTAATAATATAGGAGGAGTAATGTTTATGTTTTTATCACTAAAAAAACAGATTTATCTATAGTTTATATGTTTTCAATGAAAATACACATAATAGTGTAACAGTGATGGATATATAATTTAATTAAAAAAATAAATGATTTAGTCATAATATGACTTTGCTCCACTATAGCAAACAGTTGATGCTGAATTTTACTTATATAGTAAACATTAAAATAAGAAAAAGCTAAAGCAAGCTTAAAAAAAAATAAAAAGGAAAACGTTGAAAAAAAATAAAATTATAGTTAGCGAAGAAAGTCGTATTGGGTATGGAAACCAATATATAAGCATAGTTAACAGTTAAAAGTAATTTTAGAAATTCTTCAAAGAAAATCTCTATAAACATTTCCAACGTTAATAGCAGTCCTTTCTGAAGTTATAGTTAACAAAAAACATTTTAAATTTATATGAGATTCATATAACATATTGTATATACAATGATCACATTTTACAATCAAATATTGCTGGGTAGAGAGTGGAGCCAGACAAAGAAAACGCAATTACCATTTGTTAAAGTTGCTTTTGTCTTGCGGTGAATTGTATGAACTAAAGGAATTCCATGATCATTTATTTATTATAATTTTCTATTATTTTTTTAGTGTTTACTGTATTGGTCAGCATTTTGTAATAGTACATGATCGTATATTTGCAATAAAACACTTAATGTAAGCAATTTGTTTATGAGTAAAGCAAAACTATATTTCTTGAGCAACTATAAAAAGTTATTGGTAATCAGTTGAAAGCACAAATATAAACAGTATCGGTAAAACAAAGAAATTTCCACTTAAAATTAATCACATTTTATATACGGAAATGCATATGTAATTTGTATAGTAATACAATATTATCTACATAAAATGTTATGTGTAACTCAATGTATGAAAAAAGTGCAAACAGTTGTTTTAGAAATGTTGCTCAATCCATTTAATATCTTTTGCTAGAGAAACTTTATATTAATCATTTTATCTATACTATCTATGATCTATACTATGTATATGGCATGTTATAATTTGCTGATACTAACATTTTTTACAAAACTCACTGATTAAAAATACCCACCGGCTGGGAGTGGCTACCCTGATTTAATAAAGTATTTATAATTATTACAGAATTTTAAGACATTGATTCACACTATATATACTGTAATAGTGTGACGAGCATTCGAAATCTGTTCAGGATTGAGGCAATATGATGGAGACTTAGCACTAAACCACTTATCTTCATGTCACAACAAACTGTAAGAAATAATTTTTATGATCATATAAATATCAATCATATTTATGATTATATAAACATTTGTGATATTTATGAACAAACTGATTGTGTAGCTCTTTTTAATACCCCTGTGATGACGTCTATCTGTTTTTCTGCTTTAATGTACGTACAAATTAGAGTCCAATTGGTTTTTGGACCAGTCTGATAAATGAGGTTACTTTTTTCGGCTTTGATTCTAGTTTGATTTCAATTTAAGTCTCACCTAACCTCAATCCTTGTCTTAAATAATCCCGTCAACTCTCTCCCTATCATCATCTTAAACTATCTACATCCTAACCAATGTATAAATCTTGATAATTCCTTTAATACTATCTGCTTTATAGATTTTTTCGGGCTACAAAAACAAACAGCACAATTTATTATTGCACGAGCTATATCACAGGTTTTCTTATGCTACAATTTATGATCTTTTTATTTTATTTTTTTCTAAAGTTACTTAGAACAATTATTGTATGAACTAGTTGTGTTTTTTTTTTATTTTTTTTAAAATGAACTATTTTTTTTGTTTTTATTTCGCTAAAGTTAAGTATTTGCTCTTTTTTGTTTTTTTTTTTATTTTTAAATGAACTATTTATTTTTTTAACATAAACTATTATTTTAAGTAGAATTTACTATATTATCAATCGGTAAAGAATATATTCCATTTGTGCCAACTCAGTTTTAATATTAATAGTAATGAATAATTTTAACAATATGTTTTTTTATAGATAATAAATTATTATTAAACTTTCAATTCTTCATAAAACTTAATTATAAAACTCAGAAAATTATATTAGTAAGAATAACACTTCAGAAAACATATTGTGGGGCACAGTCCAGCTGGAGACATAGACCGACTCATTCTTATGAAAACAGCCAGATTACACATAAGAAAAATATTACTCAGTATGTTTCACACATAAAAACCAAACAAAAAAAATAAAAAAACACAAGAACAGTCACTTATAAAAATACGTAAAAAACAAGAATTACAATTATCAAACTTACCAAAATAAAATAAATTATCGTTTAATTGTAATTACAAATTGAATATAATTTGACACAATTTAGTTTTTAAAGACTACAATTAAAATTATGCACAAAAACACAAAAAAAAAAGGAAATACTGTGGATTTCCAACGACTTGGATTGGATTGTAAAAATGACTACGTGCGTGCTAGCACCAGCAGACTAAATGCACTAGTGAAGCAACAACTGTGAAGGAAAAACAAACCAAGTCAAAGAGGACTTACTAACGAAACGAATGCGTATATGTGTAGCAGACACATACATACACGTATACACCGACACAAGATCAAATCCCAGAAATTATATTATGAAGTTAGTCTCGTCATCAGCAAGCATAAAAGCAGCCAAACCAAACCAAGCAGGCAAGCAAGCAAGCAAGCAAGCAAACAAGCAAACATATGAAAACATTGGAATGCAGTCAAACAACTTTTTTTGTTTGTTGCTTTGGTGCTCTGTTGGTTTTTGTTTTTGTTTTCTCAATACACTTATGTTGTGAGAGATATATAAGCATGAAAAAAAAAATTCTTATTAAGTTTCTTATTGGAGTTATTTTGTTTTTGTTTTTTATTTTTTTTTTGGATATACAATATTGCAAGCATACACAACTGCGACTAAAGTAAGCTCTCAAAAAAGTTTAAGTACTAATAACTATAAAGTTTGAATTATGCTCTTTGCAACAACAAAGCAACAATAAACACAATTATAGCAAAATGAAATTAAGTAAATAAAGTCTAACCTTACAACAACAACAACAGCAACAACAGTAAAAACAACAACAACATTAACAATAACAAAGTAACTTCTAGTACAAAGTATTTACGTTCTCGTTTGCGGGATGGGATACTCGTCGCGTACGCACGACGATAAGTACTCGAACGTTGTGGGAACAATTTATTTCTTTTCTATTATTATTATATTTTTTCATTTAATGTTCCGCTCTTTTTTAACTTTATTCTGAGATTGGAATGCGGTGATACCAGATACAAGAAGTGAGCTCAATTTACAATAATACCACATAAAAAACTGACTGACTGACTGACAGACAGACAGACAACATAACACAGCACAGTATAGAATAGAAGAGGGGCTAGTAGAACGAACGCAAGCGTTTAAGAATCGTGATTACTGTGCAGTGAACATGCATTTCTTCATTATTATTATTTTGTTGTTGTTATTGTTGTTTGCGTTCTTCAGTGCAAGAAACGTACTGATTTAACAATAAAATAAAAAAAAATATACATATAAAGAAAAAGAATGGAAAAGAAAATTAAAATAAAAATAATAACATTTTTTCAACTGTCCTTCCAAGAAATGCAGCCGCGTTAAGATTAACAAAAGAAAAAAAAACCAAAAGCAGAAAAAAATGCCTTTCCTTATTGAACAAATATGCACAGGTTTGTTTGTATGTGCACTGCACTCTTGCACTTGAGCTGCACATAAAAAAAACCAAAGAAACAAAATACCCTTTGTAAACAGATCTATACATACATACATATATACCTACACAGAAAAGCCACACAAGCATACGAGCCAGCAAGCATCCAACTATCCAATACCAAAACCAAAGAAGCAAGCATATGAGCTCGTTAAGTAACAATTTCTACTAAGATCCATCGATCATCAATTTCCGTTTGTATTGTTGTTGTTGTGAAGCTGATTTTTCATGTTGGCCCTTAATTTTTTTTTCATTTTTGTATTTAAGTTTTCGGCAAAGATCAATACAAAGTATTAAGAAAAGCAGTTAAATTGCTTGTTAGTATTTATTTAAATAAAAAAAATAAAAATATATAGATAATTATAAAATTTAAGAATATAACAAAATTTAATTAAAACAATAGTCAAAACTGTGACTTGATCATGGTTTAATATCAAAAAAAGCCTTGCATTTTTTTTAAAAATTTTTGTTTTCATATAAAAAGTTTATTTATTTATTCCAACTACTATGTGTCATCCATTCATAAAAAAAAATAACAAGACTACGTTTTACTCGGTTTCGAGTGTCAAAAAGACCCCATACCATAATTTTTTAAATCATCAAGAAGATACGAAGAATTCTTCTCACAGAAGTAGTATGTTTAGTTGTTTTTTTTTTTTGTGCTACAAGAAAGCATAATTTAGTTACAAGAAAATTCTGGGAATTCCGTGAACTCACTTTATGCTACGATAATTATTTATGCTTTGCATGGAGAGGAAAAAAATATAAAAGATTAATTTTGATTGTAGTCGCGACAGGCGATAAAATGTGTGTTGTCTCTTCTCTTCCTTCTCGTATATTCTTTTCTCATACAAACGCTAAGCTGGGAATTCTTGTGAAGAGATTTTCAAAACAGATATCGTAAAGAAAAAAAAAAAACAACAACAACAAAAAGTATGTTAAATATTTCTCATAATATTTTTTCGTATTATAGGCTCGGCTTCATTTATTCAATAAGGGATATTCATAAAAGAATAACAGTACGACCACCAGCATAGATTATAGAATAAACAATAATTGTATTAAAAATACAGATTAAATACTTATTGGACGAAATAATAGAACACCCTAACATTTTGTTTAATTAATAAATTTCATAATATTTTTATACCTAATAAAAATTTTTATATATAAAACAAATTTAAAAATGTTTAGTTTAGTAAATTATTATTCTATATTTATTAATACTAAATTTTTTTTAATGTTAATTTTTTCATCCCGAGAGTGTCTCGTCCTATGACGAAAAGAAAATATTTATTTAAATTTGAAAAATAAAATATGGTAAATACATTTATTTAACGGGATAATTTACGAGAGTACATAACTGTTTTCACATAAATACATATTATATACAAAGATAAAACAATTTACATAAATATATAAGGTACAAGATGATGTTGTTGTCAAAATACGTTTAAGAAACTGAGAAAATCCAGCATAAGTTAGAAACTACGGAAAACAAACAAAAGTTATTCTCGAGATATAGTGTTAAAAGACGGTTACATTGATAGCAAAATCGTATCCGATTATATTATATGTTATTACAGAATAATAAGACAAGCGTAGTATAAAAGAATGATGTTAAAAAATATAACTACTTAAATTAGGGGAACTCAAAATAATTTATAACTTGGTGTATTTGAATACATATTATATAGAGTATAAATGAAGTAGATAAGTTCTGGTAACTGTTATAATAGCGATTAGTATCTTTAACATTATTATTCAAAGTTACAGGATAGCAATGAAAGCGAGAACAATATGATTTGTTGATCATATAATCAATATTATTAAATATAAATAATAATTTATTATAAATTTATATATTCTTTAGTTAAAAATGCTAATCATAAGAGATAAAAATACTACTAAAAACATGGTGCATTATTAATCTTAATAACTATTAAGTCAATAACTAAAAGTACTTAGAATCAAACATATAACCTTATGGAATTTTTTTTTTTTTAAATATATAATTTGTCAATATTTACTAGAATGTAGTTCAAAAGAAAATAAAATAATAATTTTTTTCCATTCATAAATAAAAAAGTACGTTTAATAAATAATAGAAGTAAAATCAATTACAACTGAAGATGCTCAATAAATAATATTTTGTTAAGGCTCAAATGTTGATTGTTTTTGTAAACAGAATATTTTATAAAAAAATAAAAAACAATTTTTTGCAGAAATATATCGAATTCTGTTCATATTATAAGAGATAAAAAAATTTTAAATATAAACTTTTATTGTATTTACGAACTAAGTATAGATAACCAATTCTTATCGAAATCGACTTTCTTTTCGACACTTTCAAATTGCAATCTAGAAATTATAGACCAAAAGAACAAAATAACTGAATATTATTAAAAATGAGGTAATAAAAATAACCAAATTTTAATTAAAAAATTTATAAAGAAAATATTTTAAAACATAATCAATTGATTTCATATAAAACGCCTAAAAATTTTGATAAGATATTCTCAGTATTTATGACTTCACTTATTAAAAAAAAAATATTTGAAAGATTTTAAAAATAAAAAAGTTTATATACAAATACTACACTCTAATGTTTTCGATGGTATACCCATGCCATGCGTATGACATACCTGAATTTACGCTGATGTTTAGTTGCTAGCATGGTTGAATGCACTACTTCCGCTTGCAGAGGAAACATAAAAAAAGTAAACAAAGCAACAAATACGCACCAATAATGTAAATCCAGAGTGGAAGTGGAAATTATTTTTGGTTTTTATATTCCTCTTTTTATTTTGACACAAAAATGAATATGAAGAGTTAAAGAGTAAGAGATATGTATGTGTAGATATGTATTTAAACATAGAAAAATGAACTCAAAAAGAAATAAAAATAAATACGTCATGCTTAGTTGATTGTAGCGGAGCGGAAATTGTTTTCAAAACAAAACAATATTTTTTTTTGATAATATAAAGCAGTAAACAAAATGTGAAATAAGTTACCAAAAATAAGAACGATGATACATACTTTACTACACATTAATTATACTAAAATATTTTTTTTGGATATCCGAAATGTTTTGATATATACAATATGAATTGCGTTTTGTTTTTAATATTTTTTCTCATAACAATCTATACACGGAGAAAAGAAAAGATGCTCAGCATTCAAAGAAATTAAGAAAATTGCGAGCTAATTTGAGGTTCAGTATAGAAATAATCTTATAAATTATTTCTCAATACTAAGAAAATTTTATTAGAAAATTTGCTCCAATAATGTTTAGAATATTTATTCTTAATTTTTTTTTATATATTAACAGTGTTTTCTGAAATTATACAAATTTACGAGTTCCAGATTTAAAATAATTATCATCAAATGATGTTGTCATCAAAATTTCGTTAGAAATCTTTCATTCCCACATATAATGAATTAGTTTGTTTTCCTGTTTTTTATTTTGCACATTATAAAACGTAGTAAGCACAAAAATTAGTACTCATATGCCAGAAGAGCAACACAATATTACTTCGATATAAGATAATATCGTAGCTACCAATGTGTAAAAATGCAAAAGATATAAGCAGAGAGTAACTGAATATCGCAAAAACAAATATACATTTACAAACATATATACGTGCTATGATATCATGGGAACTGTTATTGGAAAATTTTGGTAAACAATTGTTTTTTTTTCTACAATATGGGAAAATAATCAAATTTTCGCATAAATAATCTACGAATTGAT